GATGGATGGATGGATGGATGGATGGATGGATGGATGGATGGATGAGGCAATGACAACTTTTAGCAAGAAGTAAATATTATCTGTGCCAGCCTCTTAGTGGTTGGGTATTGCTGAAGGGGAAACTTCCTGCCTTCCAGACAATGTTGCATCATCCCTGATCATTCACCCTGCTGGCTGGTTCTCATGGAAGATCCACGACAACCCTCTCTACCAGAATCTGGCTTTAGGTAAGGAGAAAAAATGACGCTTGCATTTGAATTATTCCGGCTCACTCTGGACAACAGCGAGCTTGACGGGCCAGTGATGCTGACTGGAGATGGCTAGTGACTCTGGTTTTGCAAGGGCAGTGAATGTGTCCTGGGGGTTTTGCTCTGAACTTTAAAGAATCTATCCAAGGTGCAGGCCTATTTGGGGGAGGATAGGGTAGCACTTTGGATAGCTCCTTACAGTTCAACCTGAAAGCTGAACTTTGAGTCTGAACTTTCATCCTCACAATGTTTGCTCAATACAGAGTGACTTGCAAACATGCAGAGACGCCCAGTGTCATTCGAGTTGTAAGCTGAAGAGATGGCCTTACATTTAGAGGGAGGATAATAAGTCTAAATGAAGAAGATGGCCAGTGAACTTGAGCGGATTTAAGAGACAAACAGGCAACAGGTTGGGTACGACTGCCTGTGTCCTAGAAATGGACAATCAGTCAGGGGTGAATCTGTTGGGGGAGATTAGAGAGTTCTCATAGGGCTAGGAAAGTATCCTGCCTGAAACTCTGAGCAGCCTTTGGAAGTCTATTGGTAACTCAAGAGGAAACAAAGATTAGAGAGTTCCTCACAGGGCTAGGAAAGTATCTTGCCTGAAACTTTGAGCAGCTTTTGGAAGTCTATCAGTGACTAAAGGGGAAACACGCTCTTACGTTCCTAACACCAACTGAGATGTTTGTAAACAAGTGGACTTCTCTGCGGAAGAATCCACCCCCATGTTCCATAGCCACTGATTCACACCAGCTTGTACTGTTTATGCTGGCCTAGCAACTCACGCAATCAAGCTCAAAATGGATTAACAGCTCTCAAGACTATCCACATTGCACTTTTGATAGACACTAAATACACTTAAAAGAGACGTTTCAATTGCTGTTTAGCAAACAAGTTCCTGGAAGAAAGAGAAAGCTTTACTGCCTCTTAGCATGCATTGTTCGATACGATTAATGAGGTCCCCTGCCTGAATGAACGATAACCGCAGTCGTGGGTGATAGGCTGATGTTCTTCAAGTTTTAGAGGAAAGAGTAGGGAGGGCTTTCCAGGCGCAATAATCATTGTCTCTCTGATGAAATTGCTCAACATTTGCTGGTCAGCAGACAGCTAAGCAAGGGGAACTGTTTTCAGGGATGGAAGAGGGCAATAAGATCAAGCCTGAAGAACTGGGGTTTAACTCAGTGGAACTGGATTAACTCTGAAATGGACCATGATTTTAAAAAGGAAATTGAGTCTTGAAGAACTTGGAAGGAAGGAAGGAAGGAAGGAAGGAAGGAAGGAAGGAAGGAAGGAAGGAAGGAAGGAAGGAAGGAAGGAAGGATGGATGGATGGATGGATGGATGGATGGATGGATGGATGGATGGATGGAATTGGTACACAAACTAATCTTTCTGCATGTGGTGACCTCCAAATGTGATGGACTACGTCCTAATGGAGATTGATAACTACCACATCTGGAAGATGCCAGGTTGGATTCAGTCTTCAGTTCCTACATTTACTTGCAATGCTCCTCATCCAGGAGCACAAAATTCTGCGACAGTGCCCCTTACCTGAAGGGCTGGGACAAGAACCCAGAATAATCAGGATGTCAGTAAACCAGTGAAAAATACTGGTAATAAATGGACCAAAACAAATCAGTATACCTTATGTTCTGCTCCACATATACATCACCCCTGCCTCTCAAGAATGTCCTGAAATCTTGCTGCCTCACCTAAAGGACAACATGGCAATCCAGCCATTCCCCATAAATTAGCCACCTGCTTCAGCAGCTGGGCCTTATTTTAATAAGGGGATAGCATCCACCCTCATGCTTGAAGTGAGTATTTTAGTTTTACAGCCAATAGATCTACTCTCCAAGAAAGGAGAAGGGCCAAGGTGGTTGTAAGAAACAGCTGGGAGGAAGGCCATTGATGTGTCCCAACCAAGGCAGTTGCATCACATTGTCTAATGGTAGGACCAGGCCTGCTGAAGGTTTATGTAGAGAAGAAAAGATAAGAGCATTTTTCTTTAAGAAGAGTCTCCTTTAACTAGTATGAACTGGCAGGACTTTCAGAAATGTAACAAGTCCAAAGCTGTAGTGGCTGCCCCTGGACTTTGCTACCACTCAAGAAACTTGGAATTCACAAATTGCCCTGGGAAGAACTCAATTAACATTCTGCTAATTACATTAAATTTCTTACTCTTGGGTGCACTGGCCAGGAGAACTGATCAAAACCCTACCGTTCAAGACTATGATACTAAAATAATTGGAGAGAAATAGGTTTAAGTACTAGCTCAATCTGTTCTTCGGGGAAAAGTGTAGATTCATTTAATTGCTATTAGTGGCACACAACAGCACTGTAAATTGATACATGAGCATTGAACAAACAGAATAGAATCTGATCGTGTATTGCGTAAGAATTCTTAATTTGTCTGGTGCAACTCCACTAGCTTAGACAAGAGGGTCAGCAATTCATGAAACATGATCTGGTATTGTTTTATGGTCCTTACAATGTCATCAGGTTTCAACATCAAAAGAGCTGGAAAATTCTGAATTTGAAATGGTATATGAATGAGATCTGGTATTGTTTTATGGTCCTTACAATGCCATCAACATCAAAAGAGCTGGAAAATTCAGAATTTGAAATGGTATATGAATAATGCATGCCGAGATGCTAAGAAAGCATTCATGAACATGCTTTCTACCAAAGGTAACATTTTTTTCCTCCATAGTACGTACATGGACGGATATCCATAAATTTCCAGCCAGCACCATGACTCTTCTGCATTCATGAATAACATGTCTCTGGCATTGCAACAGTATTTTGTTTGCATTAGCCATAGGCCTTGGCGAGTTAAATATAACATTTACAAAGATATAAAATCAGCACATTAAAATCAAGATAACTAATGCATATACATCAGATTCTCTGTCATTAATTCTGGATATCTAAAATGCCTGTTTGGGGTATTGAATGGATTATCTCCTCCTATCCTTATAGGCAATTTCCTTGGGTATTTTTAACGTGGATTTTTTAAAATGGAAAACAACAAAAAATAGCAATATGTTGGTGACATTGTAAGAAGAGAGAAGTACTGCACAAGAAATAATATAGCAATTTCACTTAAGCACTGGAAACTGGTCACAGCTCCCTCTCTGGTGGTTTAGCTTCTTGTACCTTGCCAGTCCCTCTAGCTTCCAAATTATAATCTGTAACATAGATCAAGCGCTATGCCACTTAACACTGATATAGCGCTATGCCACTCAATTCCATATAATTAAATATTTATAAAGGTGGATTACACCAGTGGTAAAGAATTCTATATACACGTACAAAACATGACTCAGTGGCTTTAGATAAGAACACTAATGGCTTTGGGACATGATGAATCTTAAAGGGACAGATTAAAAATTGGGAACTGGGGTGCTGGAGTGCTAGT